GTAAGCAATAAATATAAACAATAAATATAAACAATAATAATTACAATAATGAATAAGAGTATTTGTTTTATGATAAATATTAATTATTTGAAAATATAGAAACATAAAAATTAAAAAGTTCTTTGATAGAAGATGTATAGACCAGAAGACTGCATATGTGGAATGCTCAAAAATCGAGAGAAGTACACATGTTTTTCAAAATTCTATAACTTCGTCAAAAAAAATCGAATCGATTTGAAATTTTGAGGGCTTACATAGAACTGTTCAAATAACTATTTTCTATTAACGGAAAGTACAAAAAATATTTTTTGCAAGTTTGGCAAGTGTTCAAACTTAACAACTTTTTTCACCATAAAAACAATCTTTGATGAAAAGCTGGATTCAGTTCGCAAAAAACAAAGTATTGCAATTTGATCATATGTTACTAACAATAGAGGGTTCACTTTAGAACATATCAAATTTTCATGTCATTTGAATGATTTTTCGCAGTTCTATGAACATTTGAATTTAGACCTTTTCTTTGCAGATTTCAAAATTTTCGCAAACTTTTGACCGGTAGTGTATATATATATATAAACTGTAAAAAAAAACAACTGACAAAAATCTGACACTTGTTTTTGATCCATACGAGTACTCTTATTTCAACAAATTAGCCCTATTATCTTAATAAAAATAACTATTCTAGCATTGTGGTCGGTGCGAGCTAATAGCAGAATTCATATGACCTGTCAACACCGAGATTCGAACCCGGGACACCTTATCAGGCGTCGAACGCTCTGTCCCCTGAGCCACGGCAGATTTAGTGTTTCGTTTTGTAAAAAAATCTTGAGCTCTCTTTATCTTTAATGCCTTACTTATTAAAATCGTATTTGAGTGAAAGTTTGAAACTACAGTGGCTTACCCTTATAAAAAAAAGTCTGGCAATTTAACTTAATTGAACAATTTTGCTAAATTATTTTTCAAAATTATATGTAAAGGCAGATAAAATTAGGTAGAGTTTCAATTTACCAGTATAGTTAAAACATAATTATGTTTGCACGGTGCTAAAAATTATTACATAATTGTCTAAAAGTAAGAAAAGTATAAAAAGTAATCGTAAATTGATTCGAAAAAGATAGTTATATTACGGTAAGCAAAACTGCATGGCAAAAACTTGAATTGCTTGAAAACTTCACACTTGACAGTTTAAATCCGTTTTTAATTAGAGTGAAAAGCAAAGTAGGACTGTTTTGTGAAAAGCAGTTTTAAACTATTAATTGTGCGGAGAAATACCGCAAAGAAACGAGAATTTTCGGCAGCGCGCGGGTGGTGATTAAAAACAGAAAAAAAGATCTTTATTTATCTATAAACTGTATTTTTTAAACATGTTTTTTTTTTCTGTGAAATTTACAGTTTTTTTTTACTGTGTAGGTTTCTAAACTACAGCTTTCTGTGTTTAAAATTACAAAAACGTATTTCACATGTTTCCTTAATTTTATATCTCTAGACCAAAGAAAACTGCCAATTAACCAAAAACAAAGAGTATTTCCGAATGGCACAGTTCAAATTTCGGAAATGCAGACAGGAGTTGATGATGGCATTTATAGCTGTGAAGTCACTTATTCTCAAGGCGTACCAGTGTCTCGATCTTTTATTGTAGTTATAAAAAGTAAGGATCTCTATTCTAACTAAAGTACTTTACGAACAAGAAGTTTTTTTTTTTTTTTTTAAATTCACATGATTGCTTACTTTAAATATTGAAAATTCAATATTTATTAAAATATTTAAGAAAAGATGCTTATTAATAAAGACTTTGAAGATGTGTCAAAGCTGTGTAAATGTTTTTAAATGTTGAATCCCGGTCAAAAAAATGAAATGAAGAATCTAAATAAGAATTCATCATTTTGAATTTTGAACTTAAAATATTTTATTTAATTTACATTTCCCACCATTAATATGAATTGTAATGAAGATCAAAGGAAAATTTTAATGAGTAAAGAGCAACCATCTAAAGATGCACTTAGTAAGCAGGGTACAAAGAGGTAAGCAATGTGCCTATTTCCATCGCCATAAATAAATAAATAAATAAACTATGGAACTGGTTCAAAGATTCAACATCGGATTTATTTATTAAATATTTAATTTACTTTCGGCTTTGAGCAAACATTCTTGCTGACAACTAACTAGTTCTTGATAAAATAAAATATGCACCGAGTTTTTATAGCTCTCTTTAAAGTTTTTATTAATATTTAGCTTTTCTGAATAGTTAATATAGTTATTATAGTTACTATAGAAAACAAAATACTTAACAAAATATTATTATTCAATTAAATATTTAGTTTTTTTTGCATAGTTCAAAAGCTGTCTTTACAACAAGTGAAGTGTATAGTGAAGTACATGGATTACTGAAGAGACTCAACTTTATGAAATTTTGTAAATTATTCATAGTTAAGAAAAAGCTATCGACTCAGAACCAAGAATAGTAGTTTTGCATGAACATGCATAGACTGTTCTTTACTTTTAAAACAAACAAAAATTTTCTTTTTTTTGTTTTGTTATACTTTATGTTTAACAAATACTTCTGTTCCGTCTTCTATATTTCAATCTAATAAGCGAATTCTACCTTAATATAGATAGGCTGATGGCATAAGCATAGTTAAGGATACACATGAAACTACAAAAGTACTATATTAATGAATAAATATGGTTAGAAAAAATAGAATTATTCAGTCTCATTTAGACTTTTTGGAAAATTTAACGCTCATACGCAACCTATCACCAGCATCACTAAATGAAGTCTATATTGAATATACTAGAAGTTTGCAACATCTACCTGATTTGGGAGAGGTGATCAAAATCTATGGTCGGAGATTTGACTCTTAAAATTCTACGTTCACAATCTAATTCAGTTTCTACAGGGAAATAATAATAAGGATATATTTATTTCTCCATCTATATGTTTTCTTTTAAGCAAGTTACTAAAATCAAATGACTTTCAGTTCCTAAATATAAATAAAAAAAAGAAATTGTTGTTTCATATTTGCAGTCAAATTATTACTTAAATACTGTGACTATTAGTTATAGGAAATGATTAATAGACTTCAAAAATAAATACGAAAAAAAGTATAAGTTAGAGTATTATATAAANATATATATATATATATATATATATATATATATATTAGGAATTATCTCATCATAATTCGGACATGCTTGTATTTCAGCAAAGCCACATGTTTCGAACTTCCATTTCCCAGAGAACTTACATGAAGGAATGAGGACTGCAGTAGCATGCATTGTACTGTCCGGTGATCCTCCGATCACTATTAAATGGCTGAAAGACGGTTTCCCATTAATTGAAGAAGACTTTGATTCAAATATTATCCATGCAGGGAATGGATTTGTATCCACTTTAACTATCAACACATTGAGTTATAAACACAATGGCAATTACACGTGTATGGCAACAAATAAGGTTGGAACAGGATCATACAGTACTCGAATGGTAGTCAGAGGTAAGCTTAATTTTAATTCTACATAATTAAATATAGCTTTTAATTCTCATTGAAACTATCATTTTACTGCATTAAATAAATACTCAAATATCTGACTGAAGCTTATTCAACTTCAAAACTATTTCATTTTTAGATAATTTAAATTTGATGTTGCACAAACTTTAAATATAAAACAATCTTCTTTAACTTCTAACGCAGGGAAAAAGATCTGGAAAAAATATCGTACTGTATGAAAATAACATCTCTAATAAAAAATCATTTTGTTTAATAAATCGAAAATGAACAGTATTTAAAACACTCATTTGAAATTTTCTCCGTTTATATGGAAACGGTTTACCGTAAAGTTTTTGCTTTCAAAATAATAGCTCTTATTACCACTTATTTAATAAAGAAAAAACATAATTAAAAAGTTACTTTAGTCGAATAAATTTTTTAATGCAATATTCTAAGATATCACGATAAAATTGCCATATTTTACCACACTTACTTAATTTTATCGCAAATTATAAAATCATATTTATTGCAACTTTTTCCAAAATCATTGCCAAAGTACTTCGTAAAAAATACTGACACTTGTTAACACACGCATATTGTTGCTAAAATGATGGAGTCTCTTTTCCACAATAGAAACACAGAAACAAAATATCAAACGATTGAATGGACATAAGCAATTTAACATTTGTGTTAATCCATTTTCAAGTAGATATTTTTCCTGCTAGCAGCGAATTAGAATCTTGCAAAATATTTCCCTTATCTGCTTTAATTCTGTTTCTTTTAAACAATACATTTTTAACAGCCATGAAGCTTGAATACTATTTAAATATGATTCCTTGATATAACTTCCTTGAATATTATTTAGAAATGATTAATGTGAATTAGCATGCTTTTAAAGATATTTAATTTTTTTTTTGTCATATTAAGTTATTATATAGTTACGAAACATCGGTTAATGATAAAATATTCCACGGAAAAATTTAACTTGTTTCTAGCAAGCAATTATCGTAATTGTCTCCAGTAGTTTTATTATTTATGCTATTTTTTTCCTTTGAAATCATAAAGAAACTTCATGAGTACAGTTACTTTCAAAGGAAACATAAATAACTTTCTAATACTGAAACAACAAAAATAAATTCTATTATTTATGCTGAATATTTTCTTTTAAACTTAGTACCTCCTAGATGGATTTTGCAACCTAAAGATACTTCTGCCATAGCTGGACAACCTGCTAAGATCGATTGTCAAGCTGACGGTGTACCACAGCCTCATGTAAGATGGAAAGTTTCAACGAGTAAGTATCATGCTTCTAAGTTAATTATAATAACGAGCCTTAAAAACATTAAGCATCAACAATCAATTTGAAGTAATATATTGTTTATTTAAATAGTAGTTACGAAAGGTAGTTTGTCATATTAAACAGAAATCTTGGAACTATAGATAAAAACTAAACACCTGTGCAGATAGAATAAATAGAAAAGTCAAGTTTAATTCCTCGTCTTACTCAGAAACCTTAGTCTTAGCATTGTTATCAATACCTCTAAATTCGTTGCCACAATTTATAAATTTATAAATTGAAGCATTAGAATTTTCCTGCTCCAATTAGACTTATTAAAAAGCAATAAAATTATCATGTCTCAATTTATAGACTTCAATTAATAATCCTTTTAGCGGCGTCAATTTGTAGACGCTCCACTCCTCTCTCTAGTGCTTCAGCAAGTGGGAACACCGACAGCGGTTCCTTTCATTGCCATCCTAGATCACGTTACAGAAGCGTGCACTCAAGCACGGGGAATGATTAATTGAAATATTAACCCTCTTTACAGGCAAGGATATTTGTATTGCTTTTTAGGTAACTTTCTGGTTTACATTCCGCACCGTTTAAGCTTGCTGTAAGGAACCTTTTTGAACAGATCTGCAACATTCACATTAAATGAAAACATGAGACTTAATCACAGTTAAAGATTTATTTGTATCAATGAAACTAGGAGTCGCTGTACTACTATCTCTACAGGAAGACAAAAATGATTGATATTTTTTAATCAAACATTGATGATGATTTTTGTAAAATTGACAATAACATATAATTTTATAATGGGTGGTAAAATTTGGTAAATGTGGTGATATTTGGGCAATTTTATAATGATACCTTTGATCATGACATGATCATCATTTATTCGGTTAAATTTACGTTTCAAATTTGAATTTTTTGCTATATGTGCAGTAATAAAACTTATAATTTCGAAAACGATCATTTTTTGGTAAACTGAACCATACGTATGGAAAAATTATCCGTTAAATGGTATTAATAGCATGTATTTGGGATCCTCATAAAACAGAAAATTGGGATAAGAACTGTACATAAACTGATTAATAATAATTATGAGTTATTTGTTATTACAAAAAATAATAATAAATTACTAATCATTAATACATTGTGCTCGGGTTAATAATAACCTAATAAATTGCTTTGTAATTGTGTTCAAATTTGCACGTTTGTTCTATTTATATCTTAAAAGAGCATAATCATAAAATAGAAGACTCAGTATAAAGAAGTGGAACTGGAAGAATAAAAACGAAGATTTTTAAAGTACCGAAATAAAGTGTTTCAAAACTATTGCATTCAAAATAACAGGTTCCTTTGTTTATTTTAATTAATTAAAATTGTTACTCTGTGTGAAAAGATCAATATAAGTTCATCCTTTCTGTCAAGCATTCTGAAAAAAAGGAGGTGCATCTTCATAAAATTCTAATGTCTGTCGAATGCAATTTAAAGCGCATGTAGTGGAATTTTTTTTATTGTATTATTTTAATGAAACATTTTCTATTCAAAAGATGAAAAATATTAATATTTGAGTCATTCAATTACAAAAAATAAACTTAGTTAAAATAATATCACAGCTTCTATTCATAAAAAACCTCCTTACTTTCAAAAAGTTTAATATCCAACGATTCAAAAAGCACTTTCAAAAGGGAATAGGTTTTATTAAAAATTTCAATAGCTTTCAAAACTGTAGTCAAAATCGATATTTTATCAAAACACTTGAGTATAAGAATTTTCTATGTCAGCAAACAAAATACTGCGTTTATCAAAGCACGAACAAATATTTATTACAACCCTCTTTTAGCAAAACAAAAAAAATGTTCTTTTCATCATTTTTCTGTCGAGAAATAAATAATTGCGCCTTTCTTGTTGTTTTTTTATCGCTTGGTGTGTTATAAAATATTGATAAGAAACATGTTTTATGTCTTTCTAAAAAATATTATATTTTCAGTTTCTAAACTACTTAACGTTCTCCGCTCTGAATGTTATGATTAAAAATGAAAAATTATACGAGAGCCGCTCTCGAAGAATGTTCTCCATGATTAAAAAAATCTTTTAAGTGCAACATACATTCAATTTAATGCAGTTTTTTTTAAAAAAAATTCTATTGATTTGCGTTTAAAAAAAATATGGTCACTTAAATAAAATTGATAAATTGTTTGTCACATAAAGTGTATTTAATTATCTTTTTGTAAGAACATTTTTGAACTCACGAAAATATAACTATCGATTGGAATTTATATTAACCATAAAACGTCCTAATAAAATCTATAAATATTCCGACAAATAATATGATACTCTAAATGTTTTTTTCCTGGCTAGAAAATAGAGATTATTGCTGGAGAACCGGCACCTCTTTGCTCAATATACATATAGCAATACAGAAATAGCTATTGGTTTGAATAAAATGTATAAATATTCCGATGAATGAAATACTATTGCAAAAGGTTTATTTTTGCCAGAAAATAGGCGACGCGCTGCAGAAATTAAGACAACTTCATTCAGCTCACATGGAGCCAAACAGAAGAAGCTATTGATTTGAATAAAATATACAAATATTCCGATAAATAAATTTATACCATAAGTGGTCTTATGGTATGTGCAAGTGGTCCACCTTGTCAGAAAATATTCGTAATTGCTGGTGAAACTTACCCACTTTATTTAACCTGCAAGGAGCCAAACAAAAATGGCTACTAATCTGAGTAGAACATATAAATATTCCGACAAACAAAATAAGGCAGTAAGTTATTTTTATTTTTTGACAGAAAATAATAGATGTTGATGGCGAAATTAAAACAACTTTATTCAACACACGTGCAGCCAAACAGAAATAGCTATAGGCTTTAATAAAATTGTGATGCCACAATTGGCATTACATATTGCGTAGCCTTTGAAATATCTTTAATTACTTAAACTTATTTTTTTTAAATTATTCTTACTCGAATTATATTTAAATTAAATCAATTAGTTAATCTTTATAAAGTGAACATGAAATATTTTATTATTTTATTGCCGATCAATGTTACTGCTAACTTTTTATTTCAATACTGTACATTTTATTTCAATGTATAGACTCATTAATTCACTGCTGCGCCGAATCGAAAGCAACAATCTATTTATAACTATTTATTATTAATTTCTTACCACAAACATGTTTCAGTTACATGGTTATTCTGATTCTCACGGTCTCGTTGGTGACTCGCGATAGCCAAAGTATTTACAGAGTTATTTATGAGTTTATTTATTTTCCTTGAGACAATACTTACCACTATAATATTAATAAACCACTATAATATTAATAATGGCGATCACCACCTTCATAAAAAATATATAAGTATCCCAATAAATAAAGTGCAACGCTAAGTGGTTTTCTTCCTTGGTAGAAAATAGTCGTTGTTGCTGGTGAAACTGATCCACATGCCATGGAGCCAAACTAAGGCAGCTATTCCAAGCTAAAAATAAACTCCAGAATAATCTACGAAAAAAATGCCGATCGAAAAGTGTGGTGATTTGACCAATTCCGCTACAGAAATTTTGAAGTGTAAAAACTGTAAAATTACTGCAGTAATTTTGTAGTAGAACCTGCCTCAAAGCCCTTACAGTAAATATTTAGAAATGTGAGTTTTAGTTGTGCCATCTATTGCGATCAATGGAAAATACTATACTTCTTGTCCTGAAAAAAAAAGATTATTGTTTTCTTCTTATTTGATCTATTCTCTTGATCAGATGTATCACTTAGGGAGTATATCACTCATTAAATTTCTATGTTGTGAAAATGCCGACTCATTGAATCCTGGGATTCGAACTCCTTTCCTGTCTGACGTGATATTGCCCGCTTAGCAATCTCAGCTATATCTCTGTGTCACGTTCTGATACAAGGAACTAAATGCTTTCATCAGTTGGGTCTTATGGCGTGGATAAAGTTTTTGTTTAATCATACTGGGTGAAAGCACAGTTAATGAATTTTCTCAGAGTTAACTGTTTGATTAGCGTCATTTCATGGTTATCGAAATGTTTTGGTTGTATACGATAGAATAATTAAATGAATTAATATTTAACCCCATTTTTACCACAAATGGCTAGCTATGTAGACGTGAATTTTCCTTTTCTTCTCAGTTCTGTTATTTCTCTTTCAAGTTTAATTCTTTCTAATTTTTCAATTTTTAATTTTTCTTTCTAGTTTAATAAAAGCAAGGATTTCTAAACGAATTTTTAAAGTAAGCAGTCTTATATATCTAATGCTCATTTAGGTTCGATTGAAAAGAATTTTTTTAAAGCAGAATTATTTGTTTAATTTGAAAAGCTTCAATTTCAAGCAAACAAAATCTAAATTTTTTTTAAAGACAAATTTCAGAAACAGACTGAAATTAATAAACTTTTGAAGTAGAGGTTTGAAGCAGAGAAATTGGGGGATAAATATCAATTTCCAAATTCCATTTCGTAAACTCTTTAGACATAAATTTGTTTGATATCCAAACTAAAAATTTATTTTGATTCGATAAAATAAGTATAATATTTGTTCCTAAATAATCCTAGTTTAGTATAAATTCGAAACTGCTTACTTTTATTAACTACTTACTTTTACAATATAGTTTTTACCATAAACTTCCAAACCTTTTACCATAAACTTTGTTTTTGCCAAAAGCAGCTTTATCTAGTCAAAAATAAATATTGAAATAATAAAAAGTAATCAATGAAATTAGTAATAAAATTACTAAAATAAAGAGATATTTTATGCGCATTTTAAAATAAGTAATTTATGTCAGAATCATGCTTAATTGTTTTCGACGCCTCTGAACTATAAAATAATTACTATTAAATCAAGTATTTTATGAATTTTTCTTTTATGAATACGGACAGTGTACTTTATCCCTTATGTCAATATATATGTTTAGAATATTTTGACCTAAATGTAAGACATTTATTTATAATAAAAAAAACACTATAAAAATATATTTTTCAATCGATTA